AGCTGAAAACATTGAAGACAGAACCAGAGGAATAATGATTATCTTAAGGTCTGTTTGTGGTCAGTTTAACCCGTGGTTGAGTCGGTGTAACCCGTGGTTGAGTCGGTGTAACCCGTCAGTTAACATCTAAAGCCCGGTTCAGACCCAAGATTTGTGATTAGCTGAGTTGAAACTTGCAACGTGTCGGTCTGGCAGTTCACATCAGTGTGACTAGAAGAGACGGCGTAACCATAGCAACGACTCTCCGTACGGGCGGCCGGCTTTTAGGTTGTTTCTTTAGCCGGGTATAATTTGTCGCCTCTTAAAAAACGGAGCCGTCAGTGGGAGTAAATGTAAAGGTTTGTGTCTCACAGACATTGTTCCTCACATACACCAGCCGTCTTCGCCACAAGCCGATTGGGTGCCACCATGGGTTTGAGAAGTGAACCGAGCCGGTTCAACGTTATCAAACAGTGCTTTACACAACATGAAGCAACAGTGCTGTTGCCATGGTTACCTGCAGTTTAATATGAACCTCGAGCTCTGATTTTTTTTTTTATAAAAGGTGGTTAAACTGTTGACCTGAACTACACATACACACTGTAACACACACACATTTATTCCCAACAGCTGTGTAATGAAATGCATTTGTTGGGGACTATTTTCAGTGGCGGATTAATTCACATTTGGTTCCTAACCTTTTCTATCGTTCAGTAAACTGACTCAGTCACATATTTAATGTTTTTTTCATTTTATGAAGTTTGTGTAAAATCAGTGATTTGAATACATTTTGATTATTTCCTGTTTAGGGTTAATGTTCACACACACACACACACACTCACACACACTCTCACACACACACACACAGTTTAAGAGGAGTGGAGCCAGGATCCTCTGCAGTTACAGTCTTTATGTTACAGACGAGGTCTCTTGCTGAGCTGCAGTGGAGCCGACTGCAGCAGTTACAGCACAGAGCAAAAACAATGAGATTTTCACCTGAATAAAAACATTGTTTTTTGTTTAAGGCCTTAGAAAATAAAAGAGTTATTAACACACACAGTCATAGAAAATACACACAGGCACACTGCTGTTACACACTGATGTTACACACTGATGTTACAGTAAATTTCCAAATAACAATATTAAAAGTGTCTAAATAAGAATAAAACAGCTAACACAAAACCAACATTACTGTAAGCAGATATATTGAATGAATTAATCAGTTTTGTGTTAGTAAACCTGAGAGCTGATAATTAACCATCAGTAAAGGTTTACGTGTTAAGTGTTACACGGTTGAATAATAAGGTCTCATTAGCTGGTTGTTGTTCTCCATTAATAACTTTATGAATATTTTAGGATTCACTAACAGTTCTTCTCTCCTGTGTGTTTACTGACTGAACAATTATAAAAGCAATTTGTTCCTTTTTAATAATTTAAAGTCTCTCATTGTCATCAGTGAACATCTGCAGATATGTGGGGGGTTGAAAGATTGATATTTGGATCAATTCATAGGCTTAAACCAATTATGTTTAACAAGCTGTGTGTTCAGCTGTTTCAGTCTGTTTCAGTCAGTCTGTGTGTCGATGCGTCGGTTCTGTTTGACTGAAGGTGGAAGGTTTATACAAGCTTTACATGTTACAGCTGTTTCTCTCCAGCTGTGCTGATCACTAAACTGACTCTCAGCCTGTTACTTTACGTTAATGAATCCCATGTTGTGTTTAAAGGTGTCTTTCTGTGGTTATTTTGGGTCTTTGGTGGAGCTGCCCCAGGGAGGGATGTAACAAATGGGGGCTCGTCCAGGATAGACCGTTCATACTGCAGTTTTGGTCAAAATTGAGTTCTGACTGAAAGTGTTTTCAATCTTTTATCTTGTGACACATTTTCTAAGTTTAGTCTTGTTCTGTCTTTAAGAAAAACTGCAGATTCCAACCAAAAAACAAACCACAGTCACTGCGCTCTCCCTCAGTTTCTGTAAATCCTGCATTCTGGACAACTTTAGGACAATGTAGGAATTAAAACTAAGGGAATCTTCATGTTCTCCACTGGGAACTGTCACTGACTCCATCTGTGGATTATTAGCTGAGCCCATTGTAGCATCAGTAGGCAGGTAGCAGCTGGGGTTTGCACATTAAATGGGTTTCGATGACTCTACTTTTTGATTGATTGTTGATTAAATACATTTCTGTGCACCACAGAATTTATCTTCAGGGTGTCTAACAGGTTGAGATCTGGTGTCTTCAGACATTATAAGCACGGGCTCACACATTGCCTTCAGATACAGTATAATGTAAGTGGTCACAAAATCACAGGAAAAGATGTTTCTCCCACTTTTAAACGTGCAGTATGTCAGATATAATTACAGATACAGTGTGACTGACAACCTGTTGAATCCTGCAAATCACCAGAAACCTTAAAATCTTTCTTTTCTGCTTTATTATTTTTGAATCCACCGACCTTCTTCCACTTTTCTTCTTTGTCAGTTTTTATGGATGATTTATCAACCGCGATCTGCTCTGTGTTTACATTAATCTGTATGGACATTGAATATGGGGCGTTACCAGCTCACACTCAATAACCTTCAGCAGTGTGTTGACTCAGTGAAGTCCTGCTGGGCTGAGAGCACAACAATCAGCTGTAACCTTCATCCGACGCCTGCAGCAGCCGCAGAACACTGTTTGTTTTTCATCTGAAGAGCTGTTTCATCAGGAATTAAGAGTTAAATACAAATAACAACTGAAGTGCTTTTATTTGCCACAAAGAGTAAAATATCTGCTGATTGAATCACAGTCACATATATTAATGTTTGCTTTCAAAAACCTCCAAGTGAAGATATTTGAACTCACAAACATTTTATTGTTGTACATTAGTGAAGAATTGAATGGAATTATATAAAGCTGATATTAGAAATCAATCCAAACAATAAGAAAAGAGGAAGTTGTTGTCTTCACCAGTCAGCTTCTCCCAGTTAGGATTCCTTCAGTTTATACACGGTTGAATGAGGAAATGTTACAGATTGTAGATTTAATGCTTAACAGTCAGAAACAATATATGTGATGGTATCAGTTCAAACAATGTCAGTTCGCCTCCCTTCATCCAAACCCCCACAGAAGCTGTTTTTGACATCTCAACATGTCAGTGACATGTTGAATTTGTCCAAGCGTGATGCAGAGAATGAGCGAGGGCCAGGGGGTCGACAGGAGGTCATTTAGGAGCCGGATGAAAAACTGAAGCAATCTTTTCTGACAGCGGAGAGCCGAAGGCGGCAGCGAGACGATGGTTGTTGATTTTCTGTCTCTGACCCTTTTTTGATTCAGTTGTCGATGTTGTAATACCTGAGAGAGGTATAATGTTCATCCATCCTTTCATCTGCTGTGGTCTTGTAGACATCCATTACCCAGGGTGCAACGTTAATGAATGCAAATCTATTTGCCCAAAGTAAATTTTTACTTGCCCCTAAACGAAATGTGTTATTTATTATCAATTATCACAGACTCTTAGCTACGTGACGAGAAAAACGACCCCTACATGAGTCTTGTGTCTCGTCATTTGTATAAAGGCGAATAAAAACGTTGTATCTCTCCCTCCGTCCCAGCAGACGCCTCCCGGGTGTCATGACCCAGCAGATGCAGAACCTGCAGTTGTCCCAGACCAGGAAGTGCCCCGGTGGGCCGGCCTCCCCCAGCGCCGCCAAGCGCCTCTACCGGAACCTGTCGGAAAAGCTGCGAGGAAGCACCTCCTCCTTCGAAGATGCCTACTTCTTCGGAAAGACGGACCGCCTCCGCAAAGCCTCGGTGAGTCCGCACTGAACTGTAACGGGACAGCGAGCTTCACTAAACCTTCAACCTGAGAAAGTCTTAGTCGACTGAAACCGACTCTCTGGGAAAAAACCCTGCACGTTATTTCTGTTCACTAAATCTCCCACTGAGTGCTGAACATACTCTCCTCCTGTTGCTGCCTCTGGGCATCTTTGTAAATGAGAGTCAGTTCTCAGTTGACGTATCTGCTTAAATACAGGTAAAATTAACACAAATGATAATAAAATAAAATAAAGTGCTGCAGAAACATCAGGAAACATCTAACCTGCTGCTGACGTTATTTATTTGGCTTCAAATGAAGTTTAAAGTTCTCACAGTTTCTCTGACTGTCCAGTTACAACATGAGTCCAGAATCCTGCAGCCTGAGACAGTCGACACTTAGCAACATGCTAACACAAAGTTCAGCAAGAACATTCACCCTAAAACAACATCAAACAAACTCAACTTACAGCCGCTAACGTTATCGATCCATTGAACCTTCGTTATTAGCCCTTGTTACTCTGCTCCTCTGAGGCTGAGGGCCGATGTTCAGGTTGTTATCTGACACTGTGTCAGTTAGTTTGACGCTCAGTAAATGTTCACTAAATTCAGTCCTGCTGGTTGAAGGTTTCCTATTAAAGCCGGCGATTAATAAAACAGAACCACATTAGTTGAGTAAAATGTTGATTATCAGCGTTATTTCTAACCACACTGCTTGTGTATGACATATATTAAAGTAACACCAGAGATGTGACCAATCAGAAGAGAGCACATCAACCAACCAACAATAATTATGACCCTCGTCAACATCCGTCACGGTGATGATTCCTGACACCTCCAGCTGCAGGTAACCATCAGTGTCACAGGTTGTTCCTCTCGTTCTCAGGAACGCCTCCAGGGAATTTCTTCAAATTTGGCACAAACGTCAACTTGGACTTGTGATGAACTGATTAGAATTTGGTGACCAAAGAGTCTTTGATTCACTGTCACAGATTCAAAAGAGACTAAAATGACTCAACATGAACGGTGTTGAACATATAAGAGGCTGCTGTCAGTCGTCTATGACTCACAGACACACAAACACTGATATCTGCTGTCGAGGGGAAACCCTGTCAGGTCTCGTCTCAGACACAGCAATCAATAAACATCTCGTTAAGTGTTTCACTAATTCTGTTAACGGTGAGCCTGAACTCTCCGTCCCCTCGTTTGTCACGGCTCTGATTCGATCTCCGAGCTGCCGCCTCGAGCAGATTTCTCTCTGTCGTCTTCAGTCTGTGTCTGAACAGAGAGGAGTGCCTTGCTCGAGGACACTCAGCTGCTGATGGACGGTGTCACTGGAGAGCATTTGGAGCTCTTCATCACCACGTCTGTCTGCTGTCATCATCACGTCCTTCCTGAGAAACATTTGGTGGCTGACGAGTGTTACAGGTCACAGTGTGTGTGTGTGT